TTGAAGAGAAGAGGGCATTTTGAGGGAGGGCCAGCTCGGGTCGGGGGCAGCAGCCAACATGCGCACGCTAAGACGAGAGGCCGTGGATTAGTGGGACATTATCAGCCTGCAGGAGGCTGTGGGGGCTAGAGGTGGCACAGAGAGCATTCATTGTGGTTAGCAATGAGCAGCCTGCAGGGGAAGAGGGAGACAGACCGAGGATGGGAGGGAGACATACTGGTATAAACTATGCTATACCTGCTTTCAGGGATTCAAACCTGACCTACTAGTGCAATATCTGCCTGATCAATAACACTTGCATTTACAATTGTGTTTTATCACATTGAAACATCTCAAAGTGTTTCACACAATGAGTTAGTTACATTGAAGTGTAGTGATTATGTAGGCAGATGTGGCAGGTAATGTGAGTCAGTGTTGTTTCACAAATAGAAATGAATGAATGAGCAGCTATTTTTTTGTGATGGATTTGAATTTGAGAGGAAAAATGACCAGGATACCAGCTCTCCTTCGAAATAATGTGGTCTTAAAGCCTTATCTGAAGGAAGTACCTCTAGCAATGTGACAACCCTCAGCACTGCAATGAACTATAAACATAGGTTCTATGAGCAGCCTCTGGGTGCAGGTCAAACCCACATCCTTCTGACCTTGAAGTGAGAGTACTATCAAATGAGCCAAGGTGGCGCTTCATGTTTATAGTGTAGTCTCAGTGCATCCTTCTGTTTCTGGGCAGGAAAATGTGGGCTAGCTGTTTTTTGATCTATTAGCTGTACCCGTTGCAACTTCGCTTGCAACCAAAGGATCCAATATGGAATTTAGAATGACACATAGACAGACAGACATTTCGTCTTTATCTATACTCAGTTGGGAAGACTGTGGGAGGACTCCATTTGGGAGGACTCAGTGGGAGGACTCCTTTAATATATTTTCTCTCACAGTCTCTTTGTCTCTCTGACTCTCTCTCACTATCTCAGCCTCTCTCCCTCAGTCTTTCTCTCTGTCTATCCCACAAGAGAGAACTCAAACTCCCATGACAACCAGAAAAAAGTGTCATACATTTGTGGCAAAATATAGAAGTATTTCTTTGAACAGTATGTGCTTTCCTCTGTCGCTATGTAGTTGCAGAATACGATGCATACCTTATATTTTGGGGCTGAACTAAAGCATTTTTTAATATAGCTCAGCAACAATAGGAGATTCCCTCCCACAAAAATACACCCATTGACACTGCCAGCTGCAAGACCTTTCCAGTTAAATATAAATCATGCCTCTATGTCAATCAGTTATTGCGTGATTGTCAGATACACAGATACACAGACAGACACTTCGTCTTTGTTAGTATAGATAGAAGATAGATGATCTGCATTCATCTTCTAACTATTTTATGATTTTTTTGTGATAATGAATGGCAAACCATAAGGCATGTATTTCCTAATGGTTCTTTTTATAACTGGTCCACAAGCGTAATTGTTTGGAGTCCAGTAGCTCAGTGGTTAGACCACTCACCATGCAAGCGACAGACCTGGGTTTGATTCCCAGCAGGGTGAAATGTTGGGCAAGTTTCCTTACTCACATGCCTCTGTTTACCTAGCAGTAAATAGGAACCCGGTTGTTAATCGATTAGCAGATCGCTCCAATCTACACACACCGACATACACACACACACGTACACTCACTCACTAACTCACAGTTGGATGAGATATTAAAACAAATCCCTATCTACCAGTTCAGTACTCAAAAATAGAAATGAGTTTCTTACGTGTCCTGGTCAATAACTCTCCGGTCAAATTGGTCTGTTTGTGGGATAACGTTGTGTGTAAATTGGATCCTGTGTGCACCTACAAATAATATTAATCTTTCATTTGATAAAGCACGTTTTACTTCAGAAGGTTACCTCAAAGCGCTTCATGGGATTTACTGTAATGTGTGTTGACTGTATATTTATAAGCAAATCTGATAGCCAACTTGTGCACAAACTTGTGACAGCCAACTTGTCTCACAAACAGGTATGAAGTGAATGATCAATTTTATCTGGGGGATTATTGGCCAGAAGACCAGGAAAACTCCATTCTATTTTCAAACAGTGCCATGGGATTTTTAATGACCATCTGAACTAGATTTAACATCTCATTTGAAGGATGGCAACCTCAACAATGAAGCACTCCCCTAGCACTGGAGTGTCTGACAAGACTATGTGGTAAGGAAGTGCAAGGGAATGAAGGAATTAGAATTCAAAGACTCATTCAGCTTGTTTGTTTATCATTTCCAATTGGTCATGTTTACTTCAATAACTCTGACTTGTAAGGTCATGGGGCAACAACATGTGATACTTGATACAGATTTAATGTGATAACTATATTAAATCTGTTAGGAAACATTGTATTTTTCAGCCCCCATGTTAATAAATAAAGACACCTAAATAAACAAAAGCAATTTACATTAATATATTGCATTTCCTGTTGGAAAGACTCAATTGACTGGGAACCGGGCAGGGGGTTGTTATTGAGGAGGGGTGGGGAGGGTAAAGGCAGCTGAAAGCATAATTGATGACAATACAATACAATACAAAATTACATTTCTATAGCTGTGAAAACGCATTCATAACATTGAAGTTTGACTATGCAAACTCCTTGCTTGTCGGCCTCCCCAACTCCTCCCTCCATAGGCTGCTGATCATCCAGACCTCTGCAGCCCATGTCCTCTACCTCACCAGGCTCCATGACCCTATCACCTCCATCCTCGCCCGACTCCACTGGCTTCTCAACACTCAGAGGATACAGTTCAAGATGCTGGTCCTCACCTTCAAAGCCCTCCATGGCCTTGCTCCCCTCTACCCCTGAGACCTCCTAAACCCCTACCATCCTGCCTGCTCCCTCATTCAGCAGGCTCCAGTCTGCTTCACGTCCCTCACCTCGCCTGCCCAAACATTGGCGGGCAGGCCTTCTGTTTCTCTGCCACTACCATCTGGAACTCCATCCCGTAGTCCCTTCACCTAACCCTCTCCCCTGCCTCCTTTAAGACCCATTTCAAGACAGTCCTCTTCAACTGTGCTTTCGATCACCATGCTTCCCCGCCCCCCCCCCGCCCTCCACCCACCCCAATCCCGACCCCCAGCTCGGGTCCGAAACACTGACTGTCCAGCACCTTGGAACATCATAGTGTGGGGGCAGAGAGGCCGAAAGCCTGGCTGTCAATGGTGGGGCATGCCGGGTGGGAGATGTGGAGCAGGTCAGAGCCTGCTGAGCAGATGGAGCGGACAGGTTGATATGAGATCAGCATGTCACAGAGATAAGGAGGGACAAGTCCATGGAGGGCCTTGAAGGTGAGGATGAGGATTTTGAACTCTATCTTCTGGGCGATGGGGAACCAGTGGGCCCAGTGAGGGTGGGGTTTGATGGAGTCATGGAGCTTGGTGTGGGAGAAGACATGAGCTGCAGAGTTCTGGATGATCTGCAGCTTGTGCAGGGAAGAGTTGGGAAGGCTGACATGCAGAGAATTGCCGTAGTCAAGCCTCGATGTGATGAATGCGTAAATGAGGGTTTCGGTGGTTTGAGGGGTGAGACAATGGCGGAGCCGGGTGTTGTTGCGGAGGTGGGGGAAGGCAAAGTTGGTCATGGCATGGATTTGGGGTAGAAAGGACAGTTGAGGTTTTAAGGAAGGTTTTGAAGGTGAAGAAGGAGAAGACAAGGCAGAAAGATTCCAAGATGGATTTTCAGAGAGCCTAGCAGAATGGCTGAAAGCTTGTCCACCGATGATATTGTGGAGTGGGCAGGGAACAAATAGCAGACTGTTTGCTAAGTGGAGGGAGTATCCAGGGCAATAGAACCACAGAAGGTCATGGATCGCGGCCATGGAAGCATTGAATGTTAAGGCGAGAATCATGAATTTGAGCTGCTGGGCCTGTATAGTTGAGTGATGACGGGATGCACAGAGCCTTGTGTGGGAGAGGACACAAGTAGGGAAGATCTGAGGAGTCCAGGGGTAAAGTAGTTGAGTCTGGAGATGGTGGACCTGTATGAAAATCTCAGTAACCTGGAGAGAAGAGGTAAAAACAACGTAATAATACCTTATACTGATATACAGTAATGTCTTCCATGTAGGAAAGGCTCAATATGTTTCACACGGACAAATTGGAATCTGAACAAAATGGGATATTCCAGGGTGGGGATAGATGGGAGGTCACCAAAGGCACAGTCAGAGATAGGTTTTGAAAACAGAGAGGGAGGGCTTGATACAGAGCGATTTAGGGAGACAGTTCCAGAGAGAGAGGGCAAAATGGCTGAAAGCTCAAACGCTGAAGGTGGGGCAAAGTGGGCAGGGTACATGGAGCAGGTTTGACTTAGCAGAGCAGATGGCGTGTGCAGGGGAGAATAACTGCAGGAGATGACAATGGTCGATTGGGGCAAAGGCATGGAAACAGTCAAAAGTTAGAATGAGGATCTAAAGTCAATCTGCTAGGAAATAGGGATCCCATATAACCTGGGTGATGAGTTGGGGCTGATGAGGTCAATGACAATCCGTATCATTATAAAAGCAATTTGCTTTCAGATTTTTTATTTTCATCAACAGTAATACAATTCAACAACAATCTGAGAGCATATTCCCATGGTTGTATGACATTTTTTATTTTTTAAAAATTACATTGTGTCTTTTTTAAAGATGAAACATTGCACTTTAGGGTTTACAATCTTTATAAACAATTCCTTAAGAATTTTTTTACTCTTTGCCAGATAAATTCTTCCTGAGTTACTGATATTCTCTCGAGATATAACATATATTTTACCTGTGGCAGTGTTTTATTACATCTAATAAAAGTGAAACTCAGGCTGTCACGATTTTTCGATAGTCTATAAAAATCTAACCTTAACTCACACCAAAATGTCTTTAAATATTTCAGCAATTATTGATTCAACAAAACAAATTTATATAATGTTAAAAAAGGATGTATAAGAATATATAAATTATTAAATATGAAATAAATATGTTGGTATTGAACTTCTCAGTAAACATGTCTTGCATTACTTAAGTTAATAACTAAAGGAACTAAAGTGATCTTTAAGTCCTTGATCGCCTTCTACCTCCCATGTTGCTTCTGCGTCTTCTTCTCCCATTTACATTCATTCTTGGTAGTAGCATTTCAAGTTCAAGGACTGCTTTGCGTTGGACTAATTGTTTATTCCACTATTAAAGAGAGACAGAAATACTGCATTTATAACAGAAAAATAGTAAAACTAATGACATGAAAGAAGGTATCAGCTTGGCTCACCCTGGGCCAGGAAGTTATGGATTATCAATGTGAGACTTGAGCTCATGGTCAATGTTGACAGTCCAATGCAATACTAGGGGAACACTGCATTGTTGGAGGTGACATTAAAGCTGTCTGGATAGCCTCATGTGGATGTTAAAGATCCCACTTTACTGTTCAAAAGGTGAAGGGCGTTTCTCCAGGTGTCCTGGGTAACAATCCTCCAGAGGCAATGGTCATTCACTTGATGTTTGTGGGACCTTGCTGTGAGCAAACTGACTGTGGCATTTACCTACAAAACCTGTCACTACATCTGTGACTGGTTTTGTAGGCAAATGACTGCTTCGAACCACTTTGAGAAGATAAGATATAGGTGCTATATCAAATGAGGATTATTATTTAAAACATATAAAATGGGAATTTACCTGAATATTGTCTAATTTATCGAGATCATATTTCAGTTCCACTGGTTTGTATCTGTCCTCTACTATCCACTTAGAAATGAGATTCCCAATGTTGCTAATGTCCAGTTCCTTGTTCTTTCCAGGAGCCCCTTTGATGTTTTTAAAGAAATTTTCGTACCAGAGTAGTATCCGATGAAACACAATCCCCGATTCAGGCGAGCCCTGCTAAACAAAGCATCACATTAGTAATCACAATCTGGATTGGGTCTGGAGGAAATTCCAATGCAAACAAAATTTGGGCTAAAAACGCAATCTCACCTTCCACTTCTCCAGCATATTCAAAAATAGCGGCCCACCGTCAGCCACCTCATGACTGCTTGTATCCTGCAAAACAGTTGGGGTCACAAATCATACAACCATCATCACTGCATTCAGGCTTGTAAATTTCACACCGTTCAAAGGTTCAACAAGTAGCGTTCAGTAACGCCATGCAGTCCAATTGGAGGCTCGCCTGTTGTTTACAATCTTGCAATTCACCTGCACCAGCCAATGGTGTCAGCATGTCTAGACAATGTGTGGTTTAAGCCGGTTATCGTTACTAAAATAGGGTCGGGTATCACTTTATGAATGGAGTTCATAAATGGAGTGGTACTTACAAAGTGCGATTTCAGGTTATTAATTTCGTCCTGCAGACGGTCACAGCTCGCAGAGCCCAGTAATAGTAGACAAGTGACCAACCCAATGATGAAACACAGCTTCATGGCTTCGAGGAGTTTGAAACAAGCAGGCGATCAACTCGAATGTCGGTGTCTCTTGCTGTGTGTGTGTTAGCACTGGGCTGACTCGAGTAGTACTGATGCCAAGCTTCGCTGTTTCTTGCATTTATACCTGCTACTTGTGTATTTTTGGCTCCTCAAAAATACCCATCTCACACTTGATTTGCAAATTCATTGAAGTAGCGATGGTGTCAGATAGAAAGGGATGCAGGTTGGTGTCACCCTGAGGTTTGGTTTGTGGGGTTTCAATTTAATGTTTCCTTTAAACCTGACACATCGCCAAGATTGCGACCAGTCCCGCTTTGTGTTCATTGCGATCCTCGAAAGACCAGTCAGTATTCGTCGAGTCCGAGTCGGAAAATCTTTGTGGTTTTCTCAACACGATCTTTGAAACCATCACCAAACCATGGGTTAAGGTAACATTTTTGAGAAGCAGTCATGATTTTTTTTTCTCTCTCTCTTTAAAAAGCCACAAAACATTAGAGACCTTTAAATCAATATCTCGTCAATCAAAAAGTCTCCCCAAAATTTCAATTTCCTCAACGTAGAGAAATTCGTAAGTTTATCCAAGTGCAACTGAACTTTCAGAATTAAATTCAAGTGTTATGGGTTTTCTATTACAACCCAAAAGCTAACTTGTTTGTTCTTGTGGCTGACACTCTAAGCAGTCTTGCTGTTCGCACAGCAGTGTGTAGGTTGGATCTACTTGTCTCTTAAACTAGTTACTTGTGTAAGGTGCAGCAAGCATGTCAGCTTTATGTGTTCTCAGTGTAATGCAGTGTTTTGTGGGCAATTGTATTTTAATTGAATTGACCGAAGTATGAAGACATATCAAAAAGCAATCTTTTACCCTTTTTTTCTTCTTTGTTTCATAAAGCTGCTGCTTAATACAAATGACTCAAGGAAGTCAGTTTGAAACTGAGGTTTTCACACCTTGTCAAAGGCAGCTCTTTCGTTACATAGTGGAGGCAATCTTCTCATTGGGCCCTTTTTTTTTGGAAATTCAGACAGATGAGCAATCTTTGTACAAAGTGGTCCTTACTCAGCGGAATTCTCCACCAAAAAGACGATAGAATTGTTGCATCTTTTCCACTGTTGATTGTTTCTCAGGGCTGACGAAGGTCAGACCACAAGGGTTTATCATTTTTACACACTGATCTTCTGGATTAAACCGCTGGACTGGTTTGTCTACAAATTTCAAAAAGGTATAAGTTATTACATTAAGGATTGCATTGTTAACTAGCAATGGTGGGTAGGCAATGTTCATGAGCAAGCCAAATCCATCTAAATGCCTTTGTATGCTTTCTTGCTGCAATTATCTTGCTAGTATTGGTAGCAATAATGCCAGCACTATTGTGGGTGCCATGTAGGTGGACACAGAGTGCCATGAATTACACTGTCTGATTGTACAGCTTGGAGAGTTGTAGATCAGGCTCGGGAGACCAATGCATACCACAGCCTGCAAAAAAGCAAAAAATTATTTTGAATAACATTGCTTTCTAAATGCACCACAGTTTCAGTCAAAGACATGGATCATTCTACTTGCAAGTGTCTCGCAAGCTGCAGATAAAAAAAGTCAGTGGGTGCAACATTGTTTTTCTGAACTTTAACCAGAGAAAGCTAAATCTTCACTTAGTGCTGACATTAACTTTGTGATGAACATCACGTGAGGTGGGGGAAAGTCTGGAAGGATAGTAGAGTGAGGAAGTAGTTAATTGATGGCCTGAATGGTATTTTCGTATTGCACATTTCCTTACAGATCCTTGCAAATTTACAGCACGGGGATCACTTAGCTCATTGTGTCTGCAGTCTTTTTAAAAGAGGAATATATGGAGATGTTGACGTTAATAGAATAGCTAATATGATTTTTTTAATATTTTACTTTTGATGCTCTGATATATTACCTGTAAATATAAAAAAAAGAAAAAACTAGTGTTAGCAGAAGAAATAATTTGCATTTTCATGGTGCTTTATCACTTTGGAATGCTTCAAAGCACTTTTGCCAGTAAAAGTCCTATTATGACTTTCTCTACCAAAAATCTATGCACATTCAGGCCCAGGACTTCAAGACCGTGTATTCTTCACCTTCATCATTCACAATCTACAAGCTTTCCAAATTATGAAATGAATAATCAAAAAAAATAATAATTTGGTCACTCAATCTACGACTGTTTGTGGGACACTGCTGTGTGCAATTGGCTGCTGCATTTTGTCCACAAATATACAGTCAATTCACTTCACCGTGTATTCTGTGAAGCGCTTTGAGACATCTATAATACCTGCAAAGCGCTATATCAAATGCGAGGATTATTATTATTATATCCAAACTTGGCATCACCTACCTTTTTCTTGAATGACCTTGTTTCTTTGCTACTTTTTTCTATCATAGTGTTATAATAATAATCAACATAATACACTGCTTCTGACATAGCGCTTAGAACAGTGGTGCCTAACCTTTATGGTCGGTCAACAAAATAAATTTTCTTGATTAAATATTTCTTGATTTATTCCTTAAATCAAGAAGTATTCAATCAAGAAAACATACTGATCGTCACGGACTTACCAAGACTCTTGTGAATGTTGGGGATATGATGGTGGGGGGTGCTTCTTGACGACCCATGCCATGGGCCAGAGAAGGTACAGGTTGACCACCCTGACTTACTACATATAAAGTATTACAGTGCTTTACTGTAATTTCTATTAAGTGTAGTGGCTGTGTATTTGCATGCTAACACAGCAGTTAATTTACATACTCTACAAATGTCCACAGTAAGGAGATGAATACCAATTTATCTGAGGGATTGTCGGCCAGGACACTGGGAGAAACTCCCGCCTCCTTGGAGAAATGGAGAAGTGGAGTCCTGTAGCTCAGTGGTTAGAGCACTCGCTTTGCAAGCGAGACACCTGAGTTCAATTCCAGGCAGGACAAAACCTTGGGCAAGTTTCCTTACTCCACACGCCTAATAATAATCCCTCCAAAAAACAAAACAATAATAAAATTGGTCATTTTCAATCCACGACTGTTTGTGGGACATTGCTGTGCGCAATTGGCTGCCGCTTTCGCCCACAAATATAGTCAATTCACTTTACAGTATATTCTGTGAAGCGCTTTGGGACGTCCTCCCGACGTGAAAAGCGCTATATCAAATGCAAGGATTATTATTGATTATTATTATGGTTACTTCTGATGCATAGACAATGGTCATTAGACGGTCAGTCAAACTGACCGGGAGACCAGCACAAGCAAAGCTTTGATTTTGAACAGAATTGCTGAGTGTGAGACAATCGCTTATAGTAGAAGACGTCCAGTTGCATTTTGCTTCAGCAGAAGTGGTTTACACAATTTGCAACTGTTTCACTGGCCACAAAATGTAAAATGCACTGTCATCCTCCCATCCTGAAACCAGCATTGTATACGTGCGGTTGACAAAAGGCCGCAAAACAACAAGAAAGACAACATTGAGAGACCTGAACCAATTGTATGGGTTTGAGGAATGGTTGAGAAATGCCACGTGGAGTTTAATGTAGGCGAATATAGACGGTAATATATTGTAACAAGATTCATGTTGTACTTGATGAAGTTGGACCCGTTCAGTAAAGGTAGAAAGAGAAACTGCTCTTGATCATTCAATAGACAGCTTTGGTCAACCCTGCCTCATGCAGATATTGCAGATTGGAAATGCAAGTCTCCACTTAAAGTATAAGCAGAGCAAACATGATCAGACCACAGGCCAGCAGAGGCATGGGCTCAGCTTCCAGCGCAAGAACCAAATGTCAAAAATAAGTGCTACAAATCTGCCGAATGTACATGCTGCAGACGGGCAATGAAAATGACATGTATAAGCAATGGAACCTGTGTAACAGAACATTCATAACTGTATGCAAAATGGCTGCCACATTCGTCTGCAACGACAAGTTAGTTCTTTAAGTTGTTTTGACATGTTAAGACATTATAAAAATACAAGTTTGTGCACTGTTTGAATAATTTGGACATTACAATTTAGTAAGGTCTGATGCATGTATTTATATAGCTTGTGGACATAACAGAAGCCAATACATAACTTTGTTTTTCATATTATGCAATAAGATAACTCATTGCAACAATACCCAATACCAATACCCATGCTGTACCCTGTATATATAATATAATAGCTCTGCGTTATAAAAAGGATCACTGTGTTTCTTTTGATATGGATCAGTAAGCAACATTTATTGCAGTGGAAGAAATTGGCAGAGAAGGTTTGACTGCAACTAGTATCCCTGCAGAATGGACCCAAACCAGCAGTCAACAAAGGTTTCAGTGAATCAACTTTGTAAGCAGAACAAGAAGTTGATGCAAATATTTTCATATCAGATTGAATCGAAAATCATTCTAAATGGCCCAATTGCCGTTTAAAAAAGGGTGGGGGGTGTGGGGCGGGGAGTTTGTGGGGGTGGGGATCCTATTTAAAACTGGCACAGCTAAAGCAGGTAAATTTACCAACCAAAGTTAGTAAAATTAATTTCCTTAAAATTGGAAATGACGGGTTTTAAACATATAATAGAGATTAAACAACAATTCAGGACCTTGAAGGTTAATATTAGGACAGCAGGAACTATTTATTTGCACAGAAGGTAATCAACTACCAGATCAGGTTACCAGGAAGAGTGGTGGAAACTAATGCGTTTAGCTCATTTAAGAAACAGTTTGATGCTGCAATAGGAAGAAAATAGGATAGGTATTCTGGAATGATGAAATCAAATTGTCCGAGGAAAGCTTCCTCATCCAAACCTCTCTTTCGGTCTTGACAGGGAATGAATTTGCATTATAATAATAATAATCGTTGCATTTGATATAGCGCCTTTTCACATCTTTGAGATGTCTCAAAGGACTTCATAGACTATACTGTAAAGTTAATTGACTGTATATTTTGTGGGTAAAACGCAGCAGCCAATTGCGCACAGCAGTGTCCCACAAACAGTCATGGATTGAGTGACCAAATTATTATTATTATTATTTTGGAAGGGA